CCGCGCGCAAAGGATTATATTTATTTATATTTACAATTAAATCGAGTATGCGCGACAATGCCCACCCGCTATCGCGTTCCTGAAATTCTTCGAGCGATGCTAGAGTGGGCTCGACAACGCGCCGCTCGTACCATTCGCGTAAATCGGATGTGCGAAAGAGTTCATAGTTTCTCGTAGTGATACTTTTATTTGCGTGTTTATCACCCGTCACAAATTCATCATTGAACACTGTATTAATTTTCACATTAAAGTGTTTTTTCATCACATTTTGCACGTGTTCGAGCACAATGTCTTTGGCATCCTCGAAAAATTGACGAGGCTCGATATGATTATGTTTTATAACCGCACCAATCAATATGCGGCTCTCGAACGCTGTATCGATCTCTCGCCAAATCAATACGTGTTGTCGCGTACTGCATCCTGCACCCGCGTGTACAAAACGCCTGCGTAACGAGTTCTTCAATCCCTCGAGTCGCGCGATTCGGGCAATCAGCGATTGTCGAATCCCGATCGATAATCGTGGACGTTTGATTCGACTTTGCTCTTCCAACGATTCGATATATTCATCGCTTCGTTGCTCCCACGCAACGTACTCCTCTATCGAATTCACCCTTGCAGATTGCTCGCGCAGAATTCTTTCGGCACTGTTTTCCGCCATATTTCCAAATTTATGCCAAAAAATTTTTTGCTAACAAGCTGCGCTTATTAATCGCTCTTGTCTCGGAACTCTTGGCGAAAATACTGACAGGGTGTGGCTCCTTACCATGGTTTTATATTCTATCTTGATGTCTCTTTCCACATTATTACGTTCCGATTCAAGATGCTGATGAAACTTCACCGTGTAAGAAGAAATGTAACAAGTATGTTTTAATTAATGTAAAGAATTTTATATTTTTTAAATATTTATGTAAATAATATTTTATTACTCCCTAGCATTTCATCCGAGCCTCGTCATGCGGTTTGTATACTTAATAGATATGCACAGTCTGCAAAACTTAAATCTTTTTCTCGACACACTCTGCTAAAGATGTAGAAAAATGATGAGGTAGATGAGACGTGATACTCCAGTTAGAAGGAGACAAAAGATATGAAATTAAAATACATATAATCGAGAGGAGTGTGCAACGTTATAGCGGAGGATTCCGATTACGATAGTGACTGCAGTATTGATATTACGGAGGTTATAAATCAACGTACTTTAAACTGAGTTGAAATAAATAGTTTAGGTGCGGTGAAAATTTGCTGTATATACTTTTATTATAAAAGTCTGTTACTTCAATTGTACAAATGGTACAAGGCCGAGAAATCGGCTTAAAGAAATCTCATACAATAGATTTGGATCATTGTCTGAAAGATCATGAAGAAGTGATGTACAAGGAATGGGATTTTGATATATAAAACGCAGCTGACGTCTCGTTATGAACTGCATTGAAATACTCGAAGAATTAATTGTAAGTATCCATTTTTAAAAATTTCATAATATTTAAATTAATATATTGATAAGATTTGTATTTTTCTGTTTCAGATGGAGCGCCACCTTATTATATATATTTTCTATATTCTTATATAA